AATATTCTTTGAACAATGATTTCTCCAATCTCTTGTTTGTTCGGGTTTTTTTCCAAATCCGACAGCGATTGTCGTAAGTTTTAGACAAGTTCTCCAGTTTATCGGACCTCAATGTTTTTCCCTACTCTTCCCTATTTTAAAAAGTATTTTATTTAAAATAAATTCTCACCGATTTGTTTCAGTTTAGTCATTGTTCTTCTGTACAGAATGAAGATCTGCGTGGCAACCGTTCTTTCAATCGCCCTCCTTCTGGGTAACTCCGTCAACCTCCGAGCTTCAATTACTGGGCCGGTTCCCTCGGACGGCGATGGTCCTGCGTCTCAGGCGGGCCAAACGTGCTGCCAGGAAACAGCTGCAATTGTAGGAATTCTAAAAGGGTCAAAGGGTGATGCAGGTGAGCCAGGACCGTTTGGGCCTCCGGGTGTACGAGGAGCACCGGGTCTCAAAGGTCAGACGGGACTTAAGGGTCAGATCGGACCGATTGGCCCTCAAGGTGACACTGGGCCTAAAGGTTTAGTCGGGCCAACTGGTCAAACTGGTGTCAAAGGTCAAAAGGGTGAGCCAGGGGAGACACCAGACAACTCCAACCAGCAAGTAGCATTCACCGTGGTGAGGACGAGCCACTCGCATACCTCTACAATCGACGACTACGGTTTGTCCTTCCAAGAGACCAAGACGCTTCTGCCGGGTACCAACTTCGATCTCGAGAACGGCACGTTTACTTGTAGTATGCCGGGCACCTACGTGTTCATGTTTTCTGTGCACAAAATCGACGGCAGCCGCCTGCACGTTTTTCTTAGGAAGAACGGCGAAGCGGTTGTCGCTGGCCTTACCTCTGATTCAAGTAACCAGGAGCAGGTGTCTGGGAGCGCGGTGGTGGTTCTGCAGAGAGGAGACACGGTTAATCTAACCATGTACGGTAGGGCGGGTAGTGGTCCAAATCACGCGACCTCATTCAGTGGCTTTCTCCTTTACCCCCAATAAATACAATAATACCAAGCATACAGATACACGAGCATCGTATTACTGATTATTTTGAAGCACTTTCCAATTTGCCGAAACAATAACAAATGAACTAAAACAAATAATTTTCACAAACGTACCTATTATTATTATTACTACTATTATTATTATATGTACATGTCCATATCACCCAGCAGCACCAAGCAAACCATATGGTGCCTAGTCTAGTTTAATTTTGTTTTCTAGTTTAATCTTACTTCAGTATGCTGAAATGAAGATCGTAGAGTTAGCACAGAAGGCGTTGTAAGTGGCACAATGATCGTCGATCTGCAAATGAAAGGATGCTGGAAAATGTCACCTCTATATCGATGTATCTAGTCTTAAACAAGAAATGTTGAAATCCAATTTATAACGCATTGACTCATATCTCCTTTCGAAATAACAGGTGTATGAGATTTGCAAACAGAAACAAGTTGTCTAGCAATATATTCAAGCAATAAAGGTGATACTTGTACTTTGTACATTGATTATACAACAGACGTGAACTTCAGTCCATTGCGAGTTTAACAGATGTATGACGAAACTAGGTCACTTAATTACTATACATACATTATCATTATTTTGGCGAAACTTTTTGTCCAGAAGGTAATTATTTTTTGCACAAGGGAAAACAGCCACACTTTCAAATACTACGAGGTTTTATATAAATGTCTATGCAATCCGTACTCTTCTAACGTGCTTACTTGTAGTTCTGTGAAATTCGTTTTACATCCGCCTTCAATCCCGACTTGAACGTTTACGGGGACTACTTCGGCTGAGAGCTACAGTATACGGGAAATCAATGAAAGATATGGGAACAGAGCTTTAATAGTTGGAAATGCCGTGGGTTGCATGTCCGTGACTCGTGGTCGTGAACAAATCCAGCCAAAGTACAATGTTAAAGAATAGATAACAAAGCTAACCCCAGGTTAATTAACCTATGGTTTTCTAAAACGACAGGCAAACGCCGTGGCTCAAACGACAGGCAAACGTAGTGGTTTAACGTTTAACTTCATAACTTTAACGTCATACTTCACATTTTAAATGTCGTACTTTCAAACGTGGTTATACCAGTCGTTATACTTGTCTTTGAATTTGGTAAATGTCAGTTTATAATTGTTTATAAGGCCAAAAAAAAAGTGTCCGGTTTCTGGTATGGAGCTTGCCCAAAAAGTGGTGTGGCGACGCGGCTTTTTTTTTTTTTTTACCTGATTTTTTTGCTTCAAATGTGTGCTGATGACTGCAAATGGTTCCCGACTAAACTTAGTGCAAATATATGGGAGTCCAGAGAGGCCACATAAAGCTTATTCTCGACCATAACCCAATCTAAAAAACACGTTAAAATTGTGCAGCAGCAGGATTCCAGTCAAACCAGTGAGTTTGGCGGTTTTGAGACATCATCTTTCATTGAAAAAAAGCATGGCTACGGCGACGCGCGCGCATACCAGAAACCGGAGACTTTTTTTCGGCCTAAGGGATTATACCCCAATTAAACTGCTTTGGAGGATTTTATTAGATCTGCCAATCCCATCAACTAAAGCATCTTGAACGCAAATAGAACGTTCCTATCAGTTATATAAAGCCGTTCTGGGCAGAAATGAACTGATAATCTAACCAAATTTCATTCAAAATCCTTTATATAAACAGTCGAATACTGTCTAAATCAAAATATTTCCTTCTCTGTCCAGCACGGCTTTCCATAGGTGGCGGCCATATTGAAACCTGGCCGATTTGCCAGCTATTGGCCAATTCATCAGCTTTCCAACAAGCTATAGTTTGACCAGAAACATCCATGTTTTAGACTGCGATACATGAGCAGGGCTTGCTATGGGATTTACTGCACAAAAACCAAAACTAGTGGCATCATGTACCTTCAAGTCTGAAACCCCCCGATTTGCCAGCTTGTTGGCCTATTCATCAGCATACTAACAAGCTATAGTTGTCGAGAACCATTTATGTTAAGGAACCTTTAGACTGCGATACATGAGAGCCATGCGCGTTGACGCTGAAAGGCCTTTCTACGGGATTTATTGCACAAAAACGAGAATAGTGGCATCATGTTCTACATCTGGCGTTTACTCCAACAGTTTCAAGTTTAAAACCTTGCTGATTTGCCAGCTTGTTGGCATATTCATCAGCTTACCAACAAGCTGTAGTTTGTCCAGAACCATTTATGTTAAGGTACCTTTACACTGCGATACATGGAAGCCATGCGCGTTGGCGCTGACAGGCCTTGCTACGGGATTTATTGCGCAAAAAAAAGAGAATAGTGGCATCATGTACTACATCTAGGATTTTCTCCAAAAGTTTCAGGTCTAGAAACTTGCCGATTTGCCAGCTGGTTGGCCTATTCATCAGCTTTTCAACAAGCTATAGTTTGTCCAAATCCATTTATGTTAAGGTACCTTTATACTGCGATACATAAGAGCCATGTGGTTTGGCGCTGACAGGCCTTGCTATGGGATTTACTGCTCAAAAACGAAACTAGTATCATCACATACCTACATCTGACGCTCACTCCACAAGTTTCCAGTCTGAAGCCTTGCCGATTTGCCAGCTTGTTGGCCTATTAATAAGCTTTCCAACAAACTATAGTTTGGTCCAAATCCATCATGTTAAGGTACGTTTAGACTGCCATACATGAGAGCCATGCCGGTTGGGGCTGACAGGCCTTGCTAAGGGATTTACTGCACAAAAACGAACTAGTATCATCACATACATACAGCTGACGCTCACTCCAAACGTGTCCAGTCTGAAGGCTTGCCGATTTGTAGCTGGTTGGTCTATTCATCAGCTTTCCAACAAGCTATAGTTTGTCCAAAGCCATTCATGTTAAGGTACTTCGATACTTGCGAGCCATGCAGGTTGGCGCTGACAGGCCTTGCTATAGCAAGGCCTGTCAGCTATAGGATTTACTGCACAAAAACGAAACTAGTGGCATCATGTACATACATCTGACGCTCGCTCCAATAGTATCCAGTCTGAAGCCTTGCCGACTTGCCATCTTGTTGGCCTATTCATCAGCTTTCCAGCAAGCTATAATTTGTCCAAATCCATCTATGTTAAGGTACCTTTAGACTGCCATACATGAGAGCCATCCCGGTTGGCGCTGACAGGCCTTGCAAAAGGATTTACTGCTCAAAAACGAAACTAGTGGCATCGTGTACCTACATCTGACACTCACTCCAAACGTGTCCAGTCTGAAGGCTTGCCGATTTGTAGCTTGTTGGTCTATTCATCAGCTTTCCAACAAGCTATAGTTTGTCCAAATCCATCTATGTTAAGGTACCTTTATACTGCGATACATGAGAGCCATGCCGGTTGGCGATGACAGTCCTTGCTATGGGATTTACTGCACAAAAACGAAAGGGGCAGACTCAGAGTACACTTTTTCAAATGCAGCGGCTATTTTTGCAATTCACAAAATATACAGGTAGACACCCGCTCATCTGGACACAATATCTCATAAATGAAGAACTCTTTGTTTTCTTTTTTAGAACACACAGCATGAAAAGGATACACTACTTTTTTTTGCAAATTGTAATTGACAGGGAGCCTGATCGACTCGGATTCGGAGTCCTTTTTTTTTTTCAACTATACCCGCTATTTTTGGAATTTGCAAAAGTAAAAGGAGACACTCGAAATCTGGACACAAAAGCTCATAAAAGGGGATGTCTTTTCTTCAAATAGCAAGAGGATGTAGAAAGAGGATACACAATAATTTCCTGGAATAATTTATAAAGAGTGTCTACTTATACCTCAGAAATTGTTTCTGACTGAGTGAATACTCAACTTGTCCACACGATACATTCCACAGAAAAGAAATCCACACAGGCACAGCCAACATATAACAAGAAGTCCATGGCAAAGTTTGAGATGTTTCACAGTTAGTGTTCATAGTTGAACACATTTCTTGTGCTGACCGGACGCGGACGGACCACAGACCTAGACCCAGCTCACCAATCAATTGCGATAGCGCCCTCTTGTGAACAAATTTGGACAGCGTTTGCGTAAAAGCGCAGATTCACCGCGTTCGTTGCATGCACTAAGTTATGAATTCCCCGCTGATTCTACTATAGTACCGTGCTACGGAAGAAAAACCGTCCTTCACCGACACTGTACTTGAATTAACTCCATGATCCATAAAATAAGTTTCGGGCAACATAGCAAGGCTGTGGTATTGTGGACAATCGGTAACTAACCGATTCGGTGAACATGCGTCGCAGTGTCAACATCATCGACAGATCGACGACAGTATAGGCCTATACTATAGGCCCCTCCCCCCCTAACTATAAATTATAAATCGGAACTCCTCGCGACTCGCGTGTACGTGTACGTGTTTCTTCGGACAGTGACAGTAGCCTGCCGGTACTGGCCGGTACTTTACTCAGTATAATGTAATAAAGCACGCCCAACCCTGAAGTTCGACGGTGACAGTTTTGCAGAGTAAAATCTCATCCCAACATGACGACTTAAACAAGCAGATACAACTAGCCTAGTACTAGAAGTTGTTAAAGTTTTAGTCTTGAAAGCGAAATGGAATGCTTTGGACGCAGCCAGAAGGAAGTTTACTGCTCCATCCGATTGCTTGATGAGACAGAGTTAGCTTTGAAAGTACAGGTAAACTTGTTTAATTTAAACCAAGATTTCGAAGGGAGGGCGGCATGTTTTCATTTAAATATCAGTCACTAATGTATAAATTTCCCCCTTTTCCTTGCAATTAAAAATTGCAATTGTACTGCCAAATTATACGGCGTCTTGTTCTACATAATCACTGAACCAGGCTGAGTTTTAGCCCCATAAATATGGCCAATTTACTGGACTACCTCCGTAAATAAAGGCCACACTTGGAACATGTACCCGAAAATGTAGAACTTTGTAAAGTTTTTATTTTCAAATTGTCATTAGACTTTTTTGTAGTTTTTTTTTTTTCAACTTAAAAGCACACGGTTAAAGCAATAGAAAGGTATTGACCCATTTTCTCAGACGTCTATATCTCGTGTAATTTCCAGGTTCGTTTGCACACGTTAGCGTATTCCAACACGAAATAACACACAAAAATAGACCTCTGAAAAAGGGGGGGGGGGCTACTTTTCTATCCCTTTAAAAGGGTGAGTGACGAGTGTGCTTCTGAAGTGTAAATAAACTACAAACAAAATGTGAAAATAAAAACTTGACACAGTTCTACATTTTTGGGTACATGTTCCAGGTGTGGCTTTATTTACGGAGACCCTGTACATGTCGTTCAGTAAATTGGCCACATTTATGGGGCTGGCCGAGTTAATGCAAAAAATAGTAGTTTCTTGTCCGCATGGGCGTCGCCAGGATTTTTTCTAGAGGGGGGGGGGGCAAAGCACATTTCTTTCCCCAAAATCCTTGCACTTTCTCTAGCATCAGTTTATCATTTTTTAGAGGGTGGGTGGGGGGCAATTTGCCGACCCCACCCCCATTTACACCCCTACAGACACCCAAGTTGTTAAACATGTGTATGAGCAAAAGCTGGTGACTTCACATCTTGTTTCTTCTACAGAGCTCATATCTCTTTTTTTTCTCCTTTTTTTTTTTTTTTTTTTTTTTTTTAGCTTATGGGGGGGGGGGGGTGGGGGTGCGATGACTTGCGATGACCATGGCCATGTTCGTCGGGTCTTTTTGAAAAAATGAAGATGTGATTGTTTTTTTTCTCAAGAGGCGGGATTGTCCAAGATGCTGGATGGATTCGTCATTTTTTTTAGCTTACATGTATTTTATGAATGAATTACATGTAGGGCTGTCCCGATGCTGGAAATATTCGCAAATAAAAAAACCTAGGCCTATGCATGCACACACACGTATACATACACCACTGTGATGTACCCGGTACATGTAATTTGTCGTAAAGTTTGGCACTTAAATTATAATTGTAGGTGCAACTTTTTTGATGTCAGCGCATACATTGTGTGCATACAGGTATGTAGTAGGCCTATTCTGTGGTACTTGGTTCTTGACCCCCAAAGAGCCCTTAAGACATTAGGGTTAACCCTTAGCAGGCCCTTGACAGTTGTAAAATATTTACTCCGCACTAGTTTAGTAGTCTGACAGTTTTGTCTGAAATGCAACATTTTGGTGTAAGGTTAAAGGGCGTAAGCATGAAACTTTGAATTTATAGGGTGTATTCTTTGTGTCGTGAACAGTGCACCCTAGTGTCATGTGATTTCCATTCCCCCCCCCCCCCCCCCCATTTCAACATAGGAATACTTACAATGGGACAAGTACATGTAAGGATACCACACGATGTATGCCTGTTTGTGGGTGATCAAAAAGAGGTGTTGAGATGAGTCATTTTCACACAAAGAAAATACATGGGCCTATTATGTACAAATGGCCTACAATACCTTGCACTGCATTGAATAATTGGCACAATGCATATGTAGTACCCTGCGGCCCTTTTTGTTGGGGGGGGGGGGGAGGTGGCTGTCCGAGATTAGGGTGACTCCGTGGTTCGCTAGCACTGTTAGCACAGAATGCTAAATGTACGAGTTAGCGTGGAACTGTTAGCACAGAATGCTGAATGTACGAGTTAGCGTGCAATTTTTTGAAATTGGGCCCAGCAAAATTGGGCTCAGTGTTCTTAAGGCCATTTCTCACTAGAGCCTCTCAACTCGGGTTCAACTTAAACCTGGGCGAACCCAGTGCCCACCCAGGGTTGAGTTTTTGATTCAACCCCATGTTCAACCCCACATCGTTACTTATTTCGTGCAAACTGAGCTTATTTCGCTCAGTTACTCTTGTCTGGAGCAGGGTTGAGCACCCGGGCCAAAATCAATCTCACGGTTGACGCAGGGTGTGAAACGCTAACATGTTTTCAACCCTACGTCAACCCCACGTCAACCCAGAGATTTGTCCAGTGTGAAAAGGCCTTTTAATAACATTGATCACAACTGCGTCATAGTTCAAATTCTCTTCACTTTTACCCAGGTTGCTGTTGTGTTGACATGACAGTCCGTGGGGTCCTGCAGGACTTTATACAACCTAAAGTGCTTGTTTATTTTTACAAGTTTTATGTGTTCTTTATCTGCTCCTTGAGGGGAACTTGATGATGGGTCGGTGTTGTATACGTGCTTTGTGCCATTGCTTGCTTGCTCCATGACTATTTTTTTGTGTATCCTGTAGGCAGTGCAAACTTGCATTAGGCCTACAGTCACCATGCAATGCACAAAAGTGTATGTAAGATTTGAACTTCACAGTACGTGGTGGAGTACAAGCAAGCAATGAGTTAATTTGCAGCTCTGCACCACGTGACAAGAAATGTCTTATTCAGAACCACACAAACTCACCATTTCAGATTTCTTGTCATACAGCAACTGCAAACTTACTCATTTAGCAAGCACGTGAATAATGAAGTAAACCTATTAATTACTGGTAGTATGTGTACCATCCCAGGGCACTCTGCCTGTTACTCTTTGTACCGCCCCTAACTGCCCTTGTGTGATTTTTGAGACAAGGTATGCAGGCCATGGCGAAACTTTTACAACCTATAAAAACCTGTGTTTCAACTTAGGAGCCTATAAATAATGTATAGATATCTACATGTAGGCCTAAATGCAAAGTTCTTAATAACCTATAAAAACTCACATTTTTTATTTTGCCATCCATTTTAACAATTACGGTAGGTAAAGAACATGTTAAAAATCAATGCGATCCACAGTTCAGTCAATAGTATACATGTAATGGATTGGGTTTTCAGTCCCTACCTGATTCCGTGGGTTTCCCCAGAATATATCTTCTGGGCTTTTCCTCCCACCTCTAAAACTGTAATTTCTTCTCATTGTCTTCTCTCCACAGGTTTCATCAGGCTTGCGAGCTACAGTGCCTAGGGCACTTTTGAGGGATCCTTTGTCTCATTACCAGAAATGATTAATAATAATAATAACAGCATGTTCGATTGTTTTTACAAATTGGGCAGTTTGCATGACATCCTGCAGATTAGTTTTAGGTAACTGTAGGCCTATCTACCGTAGCATGGACAACTTGAAGTAAAATCACTTCGCTGTATTTCTGCTACCTCATGCTGAAAAAATGCACCCTAAAAATTTATCATGCCTACATGTAATTGCCTATCGATTCTACTATTTTCAAATTCTAAAAAACCTACATTATACTATGCAAAGAGGGGCACTATGAGGCCTGGGACGACTTCAGGCAAGTGACACTCAGTCAGTGAGTGAGTCAGTCAGTGAGTCAACCGGGGAGTGAGTCAGTCAGTCAGTGAGTCAGTCAGGTACATAGAGGATTATAGGCTGGCCAGTCTGAGGCTGGCAAGATAAGTACTACGTGCTATGCAGTAGGTGTATCAATTACTGTAGCCACTGAGGAACACCTGTGCTTACACAGCTCCATTACAGGTGTTTGCTTACAGAGCCACAGGGTCCCTGACGCCAAGGTGTGCGCCCCCTCTGTGAGAATAACATCCTGGTGAAGGTCCCAGGAGTGAGAGCAGTGTCAAGCAGGCAAAGTCAAGGCCTGGGTCTTCTAAATCCCGAGGGGGAATACTGTATGCCATTAGATCGTTGGTCTTTGTTTCTTTCATATTACCGTACATATGTTGTTGTATACCACTCCTGAGTTTTACTGTTAGTGTTCAGTATAGAAGAGCACTGGACCCTAGTTTAGAACTTGACGTTTGTTACAGGGAATGTTGTTTGTGCCCAGAAACTTACAATGTAGGCCTAGGCCTACCACGTTTTTTTGTCATAGTGCAGTGAAAATAACAAGACACCATTTTACAAATTTTCTTTTGTGTTGTTAGTGAAGGTGCCTTCAAATTTTTTTTTACTTTACATAAGTTTTCATTTAAGTTTTTATATTAATATTTTTCTATCCTCTCACAACCAACAGGCAAAAAAATAGGAAAGTGAAAGGGAGATCAAGAAACTGTGTAAAAAACTTAAGTTATAAAAGTTTCATACTTACCGGTATACATGTACCGGTATGTTACCATCACCAAAGTCTGCTGATATCTATATAGACCGGAAAGTCAAGAAACTAAACCATTTTTTTTCATCTTTACATTTACACACATAGGCACCATGAGATGATAAAGTGTTTCTTTACCTTTGACACTTTCTAATGACAGTGTTTTTGTTCTGTGTGATTTACAATGTAGACCTTTTTGTTTAAAAGTATTTTGCAAAGCTTGTAAAGACTGTCAAAATCTGTTTGGGCAACTTTTAAGATTATGTGGTTATCTAATGATCTATAAAAGGCGTTCACACACTGGTGTGTGAATGTCTTTCATTAGATACCAGATAATCTGAAAAGGGGCCCTACTTGGAAAGTCCTTTCATTTAATTGGCTGTATCTCTGGACTGGGTGTCCAATGAGATGGGATAAAGAACATTGTGTAAATTTACTACAGGCCAATGCCGGCGTGACAGACGGGACAGATTTACACTACTTTTTTTTTCTTCAAAGGCCTGCCACAACCAATATGTACCGGTAAGGTGTAACCATCTAAGTTATGTATAAAGTCAAAGTAAACACTATATTTCAAATTAAAAAACAATCCATGAAACTAGAGGATTCAGTGGTTGTATAGTGACAACTTGAAATCAGCGTGACGGACGGGACGGAAATTACACTCC